AGTTACGAATATCTGTTTTAAGCACATATTTATATCGCGTTATGACAACAGATTTCTTCCATTGCTCAGATTTCTGGCTTGACTGCAAAGACAGGAAAATATTTAGGAATAACACTAGAACATCGTCACCACCACACTTGATTACATCTGATGAGATACCACGGAGACCATGAGTATAGGATGTACGCAGCAAGTTAATCATGCGTCCACTACAGAAACAGTTTCGGGGATGACAGATGAGACTGGAGGCATCAGAATCGCATTTTTCGTGCTGAAGTATTCAGCAGAAGATGCACTAAAGGCTTCTGTTGTAGCAGTAAGCGTATAGACAACACTACCCTATGATGTGATAACATGTGAAGGCAGATCTGCTTGCCTTTTTCTCTTTTTCAATAAGATAGCTCACCAACATTGTTCTTGCTGTGTAAGTTGCGTTGCTATTCTTGCCTAAGGTGCGCGGTTTTCCTGACATTCGTTTCAACTACAAGTCGTTGGAGATACAACAGCAAGCTGAAAGGCGCGCTTTTTTCATACGTTCGAGATGTTGTGTGGAATTTTTCCTATCCATTTCAGTAATAATAAAGTTAACCAAAAGTGTTGCGTAAGATTTCTTTATGCAGAGAGTCAGAGCAATAGTGCAAGTTGTGAGAAAACAGTAGATGCATTCTGAAGGTCATGGTAAAAAAAGAATGGGTCCCAATTTTGAGACCGCAGTATACTTGCAGATCAGTTCCACTTGTCATGTTGAGGGAAGAACGTGTGTACATCTGAATGCACCTGTGAGGGCTCGGCGTCTATTTTGCAGGCGACTAATTTGTGGTCGCATTCTGAGAGGCCACGTAGTACCTCAGTGGCAATAGAAATAAGGCTTAGAGAGAGAACTAGTTCCAGTACACTTTTACTCCTTATGAGTAGAAGGATACGTTTAGTCCATCTTCAGTCATAAGAGTATCTATGATGCTTGTGTGATTCCCGGTTGGTACTGAACTAGAGCAGCATATGTTAGTCAGTTTGAAGTCCTCGAAAATCGCTTTATTTTAGAGGGTAAATTCCGAAATGCAGTTAAAAATATATTGCAATCGGATCTTTTCATAATGATTAGCTCCAGGTAAGCGCTATATTCAACCGGTCGCCACCAAACGACAAAAGTAACCATACGGAATCAAGAGAGGGATATATAAGCGGTAGTAGGTAGTCAGAAACAAGCAGGTTTTGTGAGTGATACACACTACAACCTGCGTCGCTACCTCTCGATCAGTTTTGACCGATTTGCATCCATCAATCGAAATCATTTGAGGTGATGATACATTTGTGTTGCACCAGGTTTCAGTAGCCAATCAAGACCAGGTTTAGTTAGATACATGAAAGCACGGAGTAACTAAATCTTAAGTAACAGTGAACGTATATTAAGTAACACCACTCGGTAAACGTACGTACTCAGGTTTAAGCACAATACTCATTGAGATTTGAGCCCAAATTAGTTGCACAGCTATCCGCAACAACAGTGAAATTTGTAGCAGCTGTTGACAGTAAAGGGGAAGGCGGGATGGGTGGAGCAATTCCAAAAATGGGGTAACTTGGGAGAGTTTAACGGATGCGAGAAAGGCAGCGTCGTGGGGTCACTCAAATGTGGTGGAAAAGAAGGGGGCAAGAATGAGTACCATGGATTGTCGCAGTGGATGTTAAGGGCCCAATGGCCAGAGTCCGCAAGCATCTATTGAGTTTTTGGATTTCCGTTTCCGAGGTAACGGGTGACTGTTGCCATTATTGGCCATGGTAGGAATATTGAGTTTCATTCCAGACATACATGAATTCTTTAAAAAAGTAAATGCGTTCGAGCATGACTGCTGTTATCAAGTGTAGATGCTATACTTTTAGATATTTTGCTACTTAATATGGAGGTCATTTTCGATATATTAATTGCACTGTCGTAACTTCCAAGTGAAACAATGGAGGGTAATTCTGTCACCAGTTTGCGATCATCAGGTGATTTTGTATAGATATCTGCTTCATGCTTGCGGCATGGATGAATTTCAGACCGTATCCCCACAGACGGGGCTTGCTCTGAGCATGAGACGACATCGCGTGGACCACTAAGTACCTTGATACTACCAGCAATGCTCTCACCAATTGCCACTATAGTAATTAGACAGCCTATGGTGGCTCCATAATGATCTAAGTCGACGTGATGCCCATGGGGACATCAATGCAATCTGCACCGGATGCTATTCCGTTCATGAATATCAACAAGAAAAAAAGTGGAATTGTCTTTCATGAGGTTTGATGTTATTGGTAGATATAGCATGATGAACTTCACGTTGGCGGAGGATTCTGTTTATAAAAATAAAAACCTTGTTAAATTTCGGAATAGACTTCACAACTGTTTGATTTTAAATTAACATGCTAGCAAAATGTTCGCTACTGAATCGGGAAACCGTTGGACATGGATGATGTAAAAATAATTCTCCGAAGTCTATTGTAGCCATTTACCGGTATGTTGCAGGTCTTTGCAACCGCATTTCTGATAGATGTAAGCTGAACCACATCCGGTTTGTTGAGAGTAATAACGTTTTCAGCACGTTTGCATCTTTCAGTTACCTCAGATGCAAGAGAATTTAAGAAGTTCATTCAGCAGCTTATCTGCCAGATAAACACTCAAACAGACAACTCACCTATTGTTTGATAAGTGTAGTTTTACCCCCACCATCCTGCGAGATTTGTCAAGCAACTGCTTTTTTACCCGACATAAATCATTGTTCAAATGCTTGTGCTGTGTTAGACAGGGGATTAATCGTATAGGAAACAGGAGTCAGGCTGTCAGCGACAAAATTCAGCCGCAAGAGTTTTACATTTTGCTCATTTATGTGTTCCACTAACAATGGAATTCCGTTTGTTAGTGAGGGTGCAAGGTCAGCCCGTTTATGGGCATTAGGAGCTGAGGACTTACGAAGGTAGATATTAGTATCCACTTAATGTGTTGATAACTGACGTTTTATGACAGTTGGGCAGTGGGGTTTGCGATGGTTCCATTAAATTCCTGTTTCATCATTGAATTAAAGGTGGAACTTCCGGTTTTGACAGAGCTAACGAGCATTTTTAGTGATTAACCAGCAGGTTTCTAAGACTTGTAGAACCTGCCAAAAATATACGAGAATTAGACAGTGGAGTACAAAAGAAGCTACTGTTTCAGGTGCAATGACCGATATAAACCAAATAGTCTTTTAAGTCAGTGTTCAGTTATCTGGATTTCGTCAAAAGTTACCGAGTGTCTTTCGTTATTCGACGGCTTGGTGCAGAGGTCAGCTCTGAGGTCAACTACGTGCCTTACCGAGTTAAACCGCAAGTTTCAGTCGACGTATACGTAAAATTGCCGCCAGTTAAAGAGGACGAGGTTGGATGGATAGATCGCCATTCGCTATACCTTGTAAGCACCCTCAGTCAGTGAAATCAATGAGAAAAGATATAATTGCCTGTAGCCGATTTATACAGCTATCGATATGGTTGGTTTAGGTCTTTGTAAGCAGAGCTCGCAATTTACCTTCCGAGAGTTTCAAGAAACTTGATGCAGGTAGAAGGGCGATGCCCTTGTGGATGTGCGATTGTTCCACAACATCCCAGAAAATGAAAACCGACGGTAGACGATGACTCGCTTAGAGTATATTCGAGGAAGTTTGTGACAGGAGGGCCTAATCAAATGAGTGTACACTGGCAAGTCAGCGATAAAATTTGGACTCGAAAATGTTAAAAAACCAGGAGCGACAAGAATTCCGACTGGTCACGGATGGCACGCCATACGAGTACAATAGTCAATAAAACGTGTTAGGTATTCAGCAACGCAGCCTAGAACGCGACGAAGTCCATTTTAATCTCCTATCATAACTTCTACAGTGAGGGAATCTATTCCGTTCGCAGCTACTGCTTCTTAAAAATATTTTAAATGTGTCGGTAGAATGGAGTAGATTATCTACCCAAAATCCGAAGCTATTTTCGGCATGCTTTGACACTGACGATTGTCTACCTAAACAATCGTATATGACGTGTTACAAAACATGCCCAACAATGTTCCTTGGTAAAATACAAGATTGTACAACCAGATTGCCTTACCTTGAACAGAAATCTAGGGCAATGATTGTTTAATACAGTGGCTTACCAAACTATTATTACCGCTACAGTATAGCGTGCCTGTGAATAGATTTCACACGATGACAGAGGTGAGCATGTCCAGTATGCACTGGTTGCGGAATAAGTAAGCAAAAGTGTACGCCGAGCAGTGGCCAAGTGCAGCGTGAATCGCTGTGTCAAGGCTTATGCAACCAGATCGACTGCGTCGGTGAAGTTTGTTTCAACAGAAAAGCGGATTGAATAGCTTGTTTAGCAGTGGTTTTGCTGACCAAATTAAGCATGAGTTGAGCAGATGTTGGCGGTCCCCCGTGCGGAATGTGCCAATATTAAGTCGTTGACATGCCAGTTGCAGATATGTGCGTTAGCTACTACCGACGAGTGCTGCGCATCTCCCACTTGGATGCGTGAAATACTTGGTCAAGTTTGTCATTAGTTAACCGTGTTTATCCTCCGGATAATGCAACGAACGATGAGAAAAGAAACACCAATATGGAGTGGAAGCGTCCCGGTGCTGCTTGCTCCCAATCCTTCACTGAGAGTGAACAATACTGAAACCTGTCCAGTTAGGATACGGCCCCATTGATCGAAATGACCAAGGTCTATTTCAAGGTAAACCGAGGTGCCTCTAAAAAATGGGCTTCGCAATCCGACTACAAGGTGGGCACCTCAAACCTTAGCCTTAAAAATGCGAGTATCTTTGAGGCGATTCATTTGCATGAGCAAAAAGACAGTAGAGAAGCAATAGCCATAGAAGGTGGTGGGCAGTAAAAAAAATAGACAAGCGGAAATGGTAGCAGTTACATGAGTCGGATGCATGTTATGCGCAACGAAGTTCCCTGAAATCTGTGTATCTGAGAAATTGTAATGCAGACTCGTAATCATAATCGATGCAGGAAATCTCCACTTGCTATCCGCCTCTTCAGTTCACGCCACATTAATTGACGCTCCAGTTTCGTATTGGACAAAATTGAGCCATTTTCCATGGCTCTTCGTGACAAGTAGGGCAGTACCTCATCCACAGGACCGTACGGAACATATTTGTACACAGAATAGCCTCCTTGTCCTGACAAGCAAGTAGAGACAAAAATAGTGAGATACAATCAGAGAGTTGTCATTCACACTGGTCTTTTTACCTGTAGGCTATATACACTCATTGGTACAAATTTAGGTGTTACCAACTCTCAGCACTTCGCGATAGGTTTGCTACACACTTGCAGCCTTTTGTTAGGTATAGTCTAACCAAAGCCTTAGTGATTACTGGTAAACATATTCCATTTAACATTTAGACCTTTCAACTACTGTCCAAGAGGATGAGGAGCTCAAAATTAAGCAGCATTAAATCAAGATAGTATCTTAGAAAAAAGTAAATGTTGGTAGTTCAGATTGTTCGTTTGTTAAATGAACTGTTCTCTCAGCTTAGCATTTATTCTGCAAACGGTTCACCACCAGTCGAGATGAGGTAAGAAAGCATGAATGCTACTCGTTGGTCTCGACAAATGAGGATGGAGCTGGTCATCATCTCTAGACCTGGAAAACGTAAAGATTCTAGTACATGCGAATACGATGCACTCAAGAGAATTGTTAGAAGCATGGTACACAACGAAGCATTCAATCAATTGACAGGTTGGGTCGGACATCTACGCAAATCTATGAGCAAAGGAGCACCACCGCAGTCGAATGATCTTACGGGAAAAAGACACCATACAAACAGCTCAGGCAGCATTCTGACTAGTGGAGACAAACGGGCATGGTCACGAGGCATGAGTCGAAGAGGCCATTTTCAAAGGTCATTTGCTCAAACGGCCGATGTCGATGACCTATTAAAAAGCTATCACGTGACAAGCGGATTCACGCTTAATTGCGCATCGTTATACTACACTACACTACTCACTAACGCACTGATGATGTCACCTCGGCTGGTGACGAAAGGTTTGCAAAATAAGTACCAAGCTCAGAGAAGTTTATTTAGGAAATGAGATAGTATGCCACAAGCCATACACTCAATGGGTACTACAAACTGGCCAGCGTATGTTTTAATCTTTGTGACAAAATGTGTGCATGGAGCCATATGGCGTAGAGACATTGATCGATCGCTGCCTCAGGGGTTCGACTTCCACTTCGGCTACTACTCACTATATATGGCAAATGGTGACCAAATTGCCTGTGAAAGATAAGCGGCGGGAGAGTAAGATTTAACGCATGCCTACTTTAATATGGTCCACTCAAGAACTGATCGAAATTAAGTTCGAAGCTGACGGAGCCTCAGATTAGTACTGAATGGTGCAGTGTAATCACATGATGGGCACTTTAAACAAACCAGTAGTCAACCGTGCGATGCACGGCTCACGAACCTCAGCAGACCTAGTCTGCACAAGCATGGTAGAGTGCGCTGGTGAGAAGCACATTAATAATACAGGCAACTTATTGCTCACGGCGTCGGTGGGATAAAAGCACACTAGTATTTAACTATCCAGCCACAGCGCTAAAGTCAATTGTCTGGTGGTAAACAATCAAGAACATCTGAGTCCGGCAGTTCCCTGGTAGAGGAAAGGGTTTAATGAAACGAAGAAACGTGTCCGTTACACTAAGAAAAACAATATTTGAGAGCTCTATAAGCATGGTGTAGACCTATGGACGATGCATGATTTGAATCTTTGTAGATATGTATGTAGGCTTCAAAGAAGCATAAACGAGTACTCAAATTCATCGTAACACTTCTGTGGTTACAGTGCATGTAGGTCTGTGGTGGTATTCGCCACTGAATATTTTATCGCAAGTGTGCGAACAAATACAAATTTCACGGAAGTGTAACAGCCGAGTCCTATATTAATAATTAGTAGATAGAACAAGTCACCAATAAGTCAACATTTAAAGGCGACCATCTAAAATTCTATTTGAAAACCGTCCGGAGCAGGATTCGATTCAGGCCAGATTCTAATGGGTAGTTAGCTTGATGGCTGACCAACAACTAGTATGTAAAGAGACGATTAAGAAATTGAAAAAAACCATCAGGGATAAATTCGGTTAATACTCACCGAGGGGGAAGCTCAGTCGGTCACACATACCATACAGCTGACCAAAGCAAATTACACGTTGCTGTGGAGAGATATTGTATTCACGCATTCTGAAGTGTGGCGAAGTTAAACGAAAAGTACTTGTTAGTGTTTGCAAAATAATAATCATGGATAGCTGCAAGATATCAGCACTTTGTACAAATGGAACACCATCATACAACTACAAATCAAGAAGAAAGGTTGGTATATTGTAAACATGAATTAGGCCTCCATAGTCTACGCACGTACAAATTATGACGTCGTACATTCAAAGGCAATCTGTGAATGTAATGGTATACGAAGCAAAGAGTTGTGCATGTCTTATGCGTTGCGCATGGCAATGCACCAGATGCCGATCATGTTAAGCAGTGTAATTGACGTTGGATCATACTTGTATAGGGATGGATAAGTTTCAGATAGCAAGAGGTTTATTGCCCCTTATGATAACGGCGCTGGGACTGTCCCATGCGGATGCAACCAGACCAATTGTTAGTTTCAAGAAACGTTTGATCGATGATAGAGGAGAAGGAGTGTAAGTTATGGCAATTATTTGGACTCAGACTGACTTCAGGTGCAGCGACAGCTGTTCAGCCAACGTCTTGGTTAGCTTATTGCTCTCAGTTAGCATCAACATAATGCGTATTTTAAGTAAGCTACAAATCTGCGTGCTTCTAACCTCAAATCTCCGGGTTTACAGTGGGTATGGTTGGTGAGAATGGAGCGTGGGGTAAAGCAGTGGAAGCGCGTAATGGTGCTTCAGGTATGACATCTGCTTAACCAGTAACACATTTAAAAGTGCTCTCATGGTTTCTCACATGAGCTCAAACGTGGCTTAAAATATGGGAAGGGAAAGAGGCGGCCGGATATTTGAGCAATGGTTTGTAAACCTATGAATACATACACATGTATGCAACTGTGAGAAGCAGCCAAACAGTGTTGACCATGATAGATAGCCGTTTTCTTAAACCAACCGAACTACAGCCTATGGTTGCCTGTCGCAGCCCGTGAAATGTCCTACTGTTGATCTCAAGACACCAACCAGGTGACTAAGCAAATTGTATTCGTCCTCCCCCGGTAACACACTTCGAATATGGATTTCTCGGAAGCACAAGCAGCGTTCCCACACCTGTGCAACTTTGCTGATCAACAGTGGAAGTGGTTTGGCACAGTCAGGACAGACTCACTACCCGTTGACTGCTTTGTTTCACTGAACTAGCAGCAACCTCAAAACACAAACAACTATCTCGGTGTGCCTGTGATGCAAGCTTACGAAGGGTGTGTCTAATCAACCGGTAGCTCATTCCCACACGCAATGCGTAGGTATGCACGTGAAAGATGGTTAAATTGACATACCGTTAAAGAAAAGGAAAAACAAATATCAGCAGCGTTGCACAGTGCTTTGTAGCGAGGATACGTTGTCATAAAATCTAATAACTATGGTGATGAGCGGATAAGGAGGCACCTGACGAAAACTATAAATGCTCAAAATAAATATTTAGGATCAAGTCGTTTAAGCTGTATTCAATCAGACGCTGATGGAAAAAGAGTACAGTGAGTGTTTGATGCTAATCAGTACAAGACCGTTGAGATATGCCACTCGTAGAGAGCGCTATACAATACCGACAGTTCAGAAAAGGTATTCAGTTGAATTAACCCATTAAATGCCATTTTTTTGAAAAGAGGTGGGTGGAGCTGGAAAATGTGCTCGCGTGTTCAATGCAGAGCACGCATGTGATCTCTTTTGGTTTCCTGCCACAGGCGACATCCCGTGGAAGACGTGCACATCCTAGTCTTATCCGTGAGCGAAAGATGGTGACAGCAGGTGAATTAAAGTAAGTGAAGTATGCAATCCCCATTTTGGGATCATGGCAGTTAATGGCTTAGGTTCGATCTCAGCAAAGAGGTTTGGTGGATTTGTCTGGTGCGATATTTGATGTTGTGATGATAATCAATGACCAACGAGAACAGAAGGAGAAAGTCGCATACGCAATGCAGTTGAGAAATAGCGTATGTACAGACAGAGAGAAAATATACAGGCAAGTCGGAAAACCTGGCAATTAGTGAGGGACTAGTAATTGCGGTGAATTAGCTAGTATCGCCGCGCAAAAGCAACTGTGGCAGTCTATCAGATTGCCACGGTCATGGTTGTGCAACTTTCGGTTATCCCGTTATTTTCATTCTACTTGTAAATACTTTATTTACCGAATGTATTGCGTATGCGAATTAGTAGAGCGATAGAAACTTTGGGATCACGCAATTTTTCTCTTCTGTCCGCGTGGGCTAAGTCGATAAATGGCACAAAGTGCTAAGAATAATTATTTAAGAGAGTAGCAAGAATGAAGTAGGACTTATCGTAGAAATGATAGAAATCGGATTTGAAACACTAATGATTAGAGGAAAGAAACAGGACGCCGAAGTGCCAGTGTCTCCGCGATGTGAAACGAAGGCAAGAACAGACGATAAAGAATAAGTGACATTGGAAGGTCACCTAGATCGGATGGTTTAGGCTGAAAGAATTTACGAGCAAAATGGGAAGTGCACCCTGCCATGGGGCTATACAAGGTAAAGTCCTACGTAAACGTGACTATGCTGACTGACCGCTGGTACTAAGTAACCACGAGACAAACTCTATTTGTGCTATTTCATTAACACAGTAAGAAGACATAGGTTGCGATTTGTTAATAGTTCGACTGCTCTTCTCAGTCAACTGATGCAATTAATTAAATTACCACGGATTTGATTACGTCATTCACGCTCATTTTTGTGTTTATCAATGTTACTAAGTGTGGACCGTATTTCAAAAGGTATGTTGTTCCGAATATATTGCGTCGCGATTGACGAGAGCAATAGAAACGTTAACATTTCGCGACCTATGTTTTCTTGCTGCGTTAATGAAGTGGTTGAAGGGGACTCAGCGTTTCAAATTTTGTGCTATCTCACTACATCAACAATAAGCTACTGACATATACATTAGTGAATTGGCCAAATTTTGCAAAATAAACCGATAGTCTCAGGATGACAGCATCGTATGACAGGCCACCATGAGAACCTCATTAATTGCTGTTAACCGCCATGTAGCCGCACTAACAGTTCAGTGGAGCATTCGGCTAGATGACAGAAGTGAGAATGCAATTGATGACAATTACGTACACTGTGCAGTCATATTTGAGACAAGTACAAAGGTAGATGGTGTTGACTCAAACCTGGAACGCCATTACGCTCCAATTGACTGCTACATCCTTCAACGAGGCCGGGTCCTAAGTTGCTCCGTTCGAGCCTTGAGCCATCCCAGTTGATAGAAAAAGAACACCCCGATAACAAGATGCACATGGGTATCGAGCACGAGGATCAGTAAGATTTACAAATCGAACGAACCAAACTGAATGTCGCCTCATGTTGTAGCAATGTTATCGTGACACACCACATGGGGAACAAACTGTGATGGTAGCTGGCCAGTGGTCGGGGAAGCCGGTTAGCACCACGAACACAAGGCGACCATGCTTACCCGGATCGAGTGAACATAGCGGAATCAGGACGCAAGGGGGAGTCAAACACGGTCTTTGTTCTGGTCAAAGTTAGACAGTTGGCTCACCGTTGACACAGGTTTGGAGCTCAGTGCCCATCGCATGATGACAGCTGATAGGCCGAGCGGGCGAAACAGCCAAAGGAGACGGATGAATAACCAATCGGCGCAAACCCCGAATGAACCGACGGAAATGAATTTGGGGTGTGAACAAATCGCGTGTTTATTCCGGCTGAACGAGGACGGTCCAAACGTCAAGGAAAAAATGATGGACGCCAGCCCAGTGAACTCAGGCGAGTGGCCGAAAAGAAGTGACTATTCAAAATGAGTGCCAGTGAATAGTAACGTACAATATAAAATGTCTGTGTCCTTTAATAACAAATTTATGATCGCCGCCCAGACTGTCTTCTTTATCCTCGGAGGGCCACACAACATGGTGACAGAGGAGAAGCTAACGTGACGAACCCTGCCGAGGTTCGGTGGACAACCGGCAATCCAGTTACCGACCTCGCTGCAGATGACAGAATGTGCGCTGCCCGACAACTAGAAAATGTGGAAGGCAAAGTGGTTGGAGTTGGTGACGTTGACCAAGCTGGGTGCTCAGCCAACGGCCTACCAATTGGCCATGTTCCGGCATGGAATTGGTGATGAAGCAAGGCGTGCACTGGAAATGTTGGACATGGGTAATAACGACCGGAAAATCGAGCTGGATGTGGTGGTACGCAGGTTCGGTGAGTTCTGCAAAGGTCGGCCAAAGGAAACTTGTCAAAGGCAATTGTTCCTCAGTCGCAATCACTTACCTGGAGAATTGTGCGAGGTCTACATTACCCAACTGAAGATTTTGGAGCGTACATGCAGCTTTGGCGATTGTTTGCAGGATTCTCTGAAGTGCGACCGGTTCGTGATTGACCTAAGGAATGATGAACTGTTGAAGTGCCTATTGCAGCAGAGAAACCTGACTGGAACAATGTATCGACATTTGCCCAAGCGAGACGAGGACGGCCCAACAACTCAGAGACAGCGACCGAGCTCTGCATAATAGCTCCACAATGAACACGTTTGCCACAGACAAAGGGTGGACAGGAACTAAGTTGTAAATTCTGCGGTCGCGTGCATCCAAGACAAAAGGAGGATTATTCGGCATGGGGTAGAACCTGTAAGAACCGTTCCAAAAGGAACCGGTTTGCATGTTGCTGCCTTTCGGTAAGGAACGATTCGGTGGACAGCGACAGCCGACAGAGGTCGCAAAAACTATCGATCAAGAACATGAGTGAACGCGAACAGCAAGTTTGTAAGCTTGTAACACTGCTCACTCAAGGTCATCAAGTGAATTTTCAGCTGGATTCAGGGGCCAGTGTTAAGCTACTGCCGCAAAAGCGGATTGCCGTAAAACACAGACCTGCCTCAGAATGTGGAATGGCTCAAAGTTACAACCGGATGGCTGTTTCACGGTGAGGCCCATAAACCCGAAGAATGGGGCAGAACACTTGATCGAGTTTATCGTAGTGTCCACAGACCTTACGTCCATTCTGGGCATTGATACCATTCGGCGTTTGGGTTTTGTCTCTTTCCACCATGACCGTTTTGTTCATTCTTGTGAAGCTAAA